CAGGCCGGCGCCCGCCGTCCAGGGGGTGGGGCCCGGAAAGTCCCTGGGCGCCTGCCAGGAACACTCAGCTCATAATAACCTCGCGGAAAACACCGAGGCCTTGGCCTCCAGAAACCCCGGCCTTGCGTAATCCCCCGCCCCCCCCACCCGTGGCCCCGCGCCTCCCAGGCCCCACGCGGCGTACTCACCAGCCCTTGGTGGGGGTTTCCCTCTCTTCCCCGCAGGTTCCTGCACTTGGCCATCATCCATGAAGAGAAGTCACTGACCATGGAAGTGATCCGCCAGGTGAAGGGAGACCTGGCTTTCCTCAACTTCCAGAACAATCTGCAGCAGGTGCGCCGGCTTCCCTAACGCTGGGCCCTCCCTGACCTTAGTGGTGCAGCTGAATGTAGCACCATCGCCCACAAAAACTTTCTATATTAACTGGCACAGGGTCTTTACCTACCCCGGCCTTTTACATTCAAATGAGCCAAACTTCCTAAACAACGTGAAGGAAATCACATCTGTTTGCTGAGGTCTTGATGACCTGGTTTCCAGTATTTGCAAACCCCTTTCCCTCCACCTGTCAGAGAGAGTCAGCATCTACAACCAGGGGACCTCTGGGACTCAGATTGTGGTTTCCTCCCATGGCTTATTCCTTCTGTTACCTCTTTCATTTGTAGACTCCACTCCACTTGGCTGTGATCACCAACCAGCCAGAAATTGCTGAGGCGCTTCTGGGAGCTGGCTGTGATCCTGAGCTGCGAGACTTTCGAGGAAATACTCCTCTCCACCTTGCCTGTGAGCAGGGTTGCCTGGCCAGTGTGGGAGTCCTCACGCAGACCTGCACCACACAGCATCTTCACTCCATCCTGCAAGCCACAAACTACAATGGTACGTCAGTGTGCATCATCTAAGGGCAGGTGATGGGAAAAAAGAGATGTACTCACTTAAGAGTCCAGACAAACCTAAAACTCCCAAGCATGTGAAAGGTTGAGAAGATATGTTTAAATGATGCCTGTTGGAGTCTGTTATGGAATTCTAAAATTTCAGAAGACATGACTATTTGTGCCAGAAAAGATAGGAGAAAGGTTCTTGCTTCTGGTGTGAGGCTTGCAAACAAGTGCTTATACTTTGAATCATTGCTTCTTCTAGGCCACACGTGTCTGCACTTAGCATCTATCCATGGCTACCTGGGCATTGTGGAACATCTGGTGTCTTTGGGTGCTGATGTGAATGCTCAGGTGAGTGTTCTATGTCTCAAGATGGAGTGAATCCTCCTGAGAACCATTTGGCTGGTTCTTGGTGCAAGCAGAAATCTCCAGCTGCTGCTATAAACATCTCAATTGCTTTTGGTTCCAGGAGCCCTGTAATGGCCGGACAGCCCTCCACCTTGCAGTAGACCTGCAGAATCCGGATCTGGTGTCACTCTTGCTCAAGTGTGGGGCTGATGTCAATAGAGTTACTTACCAAGGATATTCCCCGTACCAACTCACTTGGGGCCGACCAAGCACACGGATACAGCAGCAGCTGGGTCAGCTGACCCCTGAAAATCTCCAGATGCTACCAGAGAGCGAGGATGAGGAGAGCTATGACACGGAGTCAGAGTTCACAGAAGATGAGGTGAGTCTTCATGATCATCTTCAACATTCTGCCAAGAAATGGGCCTCCCAATTCCCCAGAACTAAAGCTACTCTTTATCATAGGGATTGCAACATAATGAGGTTCTCAAATTTTAGCATGCTGTACCAGCATCCCAAGAGTGTGTGTCTTCTGGTTTGGTTGTAATGGCTTACTTTTTTTTGGTCCTTGGGATTGAACCCAGGTCCCCCCTCACACGTGCTAGCCATGTGCTCTACCGAGCTACACACCCAGCAATAGGGAATGATGGAGGGTATGAAATAGATTGGAGTGCATTGTAAACATATATGGAAATACTGCAACGAAAGCTCCCTCTGTATAATTAAGCAATTTTTTTTTTAAATAGAGGACATTATAGGAAAACTGCAGCCTGTGGGCTTTATTGTATTTGGGTTCTAGAGAAAAAGAGTCCAAGAATACTTGGGTTATTTCCAGTAGCAGCTCTCCTATCACCCAAACATCGTTGGTGAAATTCTGGAAGTTTAATGAGTCTTTTATTCCTTTTGTTTTTTAGCTGCCTTACGATGACTGTGTGTTTGGAGGCCAGCGTCTGACGTTATGAACAGAAAATGTCAAAAAAAAAAAAAAAACATGGACTTGTATATTTGTAAAAAAAGAGAGTTTTATTTTTCTAAACAAACAAACAAAAAACCCAAAAAAATGTAAAGGGTATTCTTACACACCTGCCTGACCCCAGCACTGTACTGTAACGAACCAGCCTTTGTTGTCTTATTACTTTGTGTGGGAAAACAACAAAGATCATTGGAACCTGGAGAAAGCCTCTTTTGCTGGCTGTTCATAGCCAACTCAGGCAGAAAACTCAAGAGACTCCTTCACCACACCTCCACTTGTGGTTTTTGTTGGTTAAAGGGCCAGCCTGGAGCAAAAAAGCCAAGAGCGAAAGGCCCTGAATTGAAGCCCAGCTACTGCAGTGGGGGAGGGGGGGAAACGCCTCCTAAACTTGTGGGATGGGGGTGGGGGAGGTGAAGGTTATCCAGAGTGACGAAAGGACCACATTTTATTTATTTTGCTTTTTATTGAAGCACTCTAGATTTAGTAGCTGACCCAGTGTGGTGTTGGGTAGTATGTGGTCAAAAGTTACTACCTTACAAAGATTTGTGTTACCCTCTGTAAATTGTGTAGATAGTGTATTTTGTTGGTAACTATTTTGGTACTTCTAAGATGTATATTTATTAAACAGATTTTTACAAACAGTTATCATGATCCTTGCTTTTGGGCTGCCCTGGGACTCTGTCCTGAGTGCTCACTCAGATGGACACAGAGGCTGAGAGCTATGGGGAGCAGGCTGCCACTTAGTCTCCCAACAAAGCCTTGCAGGCAGCTGGGCCCCTGTGGGAGGGAGGCTGTTGGTAGTGTAAAGTGCTTGGAGCTGCAGTGAAGCTGTTTGACCTGTGGCTGGGAGTCCATTATTATCTTCTTTCATCTTAGACTATGTAAGCACCCTCTTTTCACTTTAGGGAATTCTTCTGGACAGGCAGAAGAAGCTTAGTTTGTGTTTATAGGGCTAGGAAAGATCTCGCAAGGGTTCAGAAGTGGCACTGTGCCAACCTCTGTTAGCAGATGCTAGTCTGTTAACAGATACTAGACTTGTTTTTCTCATTTACCTATTGAGCTGTATGTGAACACCACACAAAACAGCCCATGTAAAACACATAGCAGAGTGACGGGCATGTAGTGATAAAGGAAAATAGAAGCTTTTGCACAACATCCTGTATTTTACAGTGAAAGAGACCTACTAAGAGCCTGTTTGAGTCTACTTGGCAGGAGAGGCAGGTGATGAGTTTATTTAATATCTGCTTGATGTCATGCAGTTACTACTGATTCTCTGAATCTACCTGTTACTGTTAGTAAAATTTGAAGGATCTTTAGGAGCTCAGTCTACTGATTGTGCTGACTGATTTACAGAAGCAGATTTCATAAGAAATCAGTATCTTGTGAAAGTCCGGTTTAGATGCTCTGTAATTGTTTCCATCCTAACAGCAACTCTTGCCTCGGAAAAACACAAGGAGTGAGACTTTGTGGTATCCATTTATTTTATAGAATTCGGAATGGTGTATAAAATTAGCTCGTGATTAAGAAAACATTGCTATCACCCTATATTACACTTTTCTTGATTCACAAATGAAAAGTCAAATAAATATGATGCCTACCTCCCTCTAAGACCAAAAAGGAGTCACCACTTAGTGGGTCTTTCGTATATAAAGAGTGTTGCTGCAGACTGGTCTCAGCTCAACCATTCCAGGGGCTAAACCATAGCCCCAGTCCTGGATCCTGGAATTATGGTCTCTCTTAACATGGGTTGTCAAAATGCCTCAGACTATTGTTCCTTCTAGAGCAACTGAATATAGGTATTCAGGGCTCAAATGAATGCTGAGACCTCTCAGCTAAGTGAAAACAGTAAGAGATCAAAGGTTGGGAATTTGGCTTCCTCATTTGGGAATTCTATTCCTTCTTTCCACTTCTATCCAGCCATCATGCCAGTTGATTGGGTTGCTGGAGCTTAGAACTGGATGCACTTTAGAATGAAAGAGCTGTAGAAACATCTTCAAATTTCTAAGCAAAGAACAAAAAAGTTTTAAAAGGACAGGTGCAGTAGGTCACACCTGTGATCCTAGCTACTAAGGAAGCTGAGATCTGAGGATGGAGGTTCAAGGCCAGCCCCAAAGACTCCCATCTCCAACCAACAAAAAGCCAGGCTAGAAGCATGGTTCCAGTGGTAGAGCACCAGCCAAACAAACTGATCACAAGACCCTGAGCTCAAGTCCCCACTACCAATAATAAAAGTTTTTAACAGCTCAGTAGACTATGTACCATCATATATATACTCTGATGTTCTAGAAGCTAAAGTCCTGTCCAGACAGGTATAAGTTTGACAGTCTTGGGAAAGAGAGAAGTGACAGAAGAGGGAAATAAAAAGTCATATCAGCAACATCCTCCAATTTAGTTCCTTAATTCCTCCTGCCTGCCTCATCCCGCACAATAAATTTCCTTCATGAGTCAGGTGGACCAAGTCCTCCCAGAAGGAAAGATTTTTCTTTATGGAGACAATAGACTCCAGTCTGAAGACCTTGCCCGCAGGCCTGGGGATGGGAGGAGGAGATGAGCGCCACTCATTTGCTACTGGAAGTGATTTAAGTGGTCTCCGCTGGAACTGAGTCATGATATAGACTCTTCTGCCAATTTTTCTGCCAGATTTTTAGCCCTAGGTATGACTGAAGTTTCATTTGGAGGGAAAAAAAAAATTAGAGTTCTGGAACTCACACATAGCTGATAATGTATGCCATAATCCCAGGCCTGGAGAGGCTGAAAAAGGAAGACCATGGGTTCAAGGTCAACCAGGGCAACATACTGAGACCTCATTTCAAAAGGAAAAAGAGCTGAGGGTGTAGTTCTAGTGGTACCTGCTTACCAAGGTGAGGCCCTGAGCTCAAATTCCAACACTGCTCCCTCACCCACAAAAAGAGAAGAGAAGGAAAGACATTTGTCAAAGGACCATTCCTCAACCTCCACTGCCTAGTCAAGAACATTCCAGGGGTCTCCACATTATAAGGGAGCTTATGAAAATTGATAGTGTAGGTGTGTTTGAACTTGGGGTCTTATTTGCATTATAAAGAACTATTGTTCTGCAGACCAGAAAAATGGGCAAGTCGTGGTCTCTTGTCTCAAAAGAGTTCCTTGCTTAGGTGGAGAACATGAGCCAAACAACATGAACTGGACAGCTGGAACTCAGAATGCCTGCACTCAACGAAGTTATGTGAGGACAAGAATCAAGGGCATTACCCCTGTTACCTATCTATCCTAGTTATTTGAATATAATTGTTGTCTATTCTAGATAGTACCCTCCAGTGCTATTCTCTCATCCTGTGCCCCAAGCAACCACTAGCACCTTATTGATAGGTGCTAAGAAACACAGTAGTGTTCAGAACAAAACTTCCAGCCTGGGATTGAATCTACTGCAGATTACACAATGTATTTGTTTACATCTGTGGGTGATTATAGATTCCAGAAAGAAGTTTGCCACCTATCAGAATTAATGACAAATGAGTGGATCGCTGATGGCTCACACCTGTACTCTTAGCTAATCAGGAGGCTGAGATCTGAGGATCATGGTTCAAAGCCAGTTCAGACAGGAAAGTCTGTGAGACTCGTATCTCCAATTAACCAACAGAGAATCAGAAGTGGTAGAGTGACACTTTGAGCAAAATAATTAAGAGACAGCACTGAGTACCAAAGATCAAGACCAAATAACAGCATGTACATACACACAGGCACACACACACACACACACACACACACACATACACACTTCAGAGCTTAACAGACTCAACTTGCTATTGAACTGTGTAAAGATCTTGTTGAAATGTAAGTTCCCATTCTGTAGAAGAGACTTAGAAAAGTTGATCTTGCTGAAATGCAGATTCCTCAGAGACTTGCAAGAGCCCAAAAGGAACTGAAAGCGTGGCATTCCTGCCACCACTGGTATCTCCTTTTTTTTTTTTTTTTAATTTGGTGTAGGATGTTTGTGTGTGTGTGTGTGTGTGTGTGTGTGTGTGTGTGTGTGTGTGTTCTGGGAATTGAACTCAGTGCCTAGGCACTGTTCCTGAGCTTTTTTTGCTCAAACCTAGCCCTCTACTAATTGAGCCATGTTAGCATTATGCCCACCTTTGGTCTTCAGCTCCACCCAGCCCTGAGCTGCTCCCAGCCCTGAGTTCCTACCGTAAAGTTGGCCACTCCTTCTCTCCCCAGACCCATCTGAGCATGCACCTACCTTACTTCCTGCCCCCAGACCCTCCTGCTGCTTGAATAGGGATGGATGCCATGTGCTCTCTCTTTGGGGAAATATGGCCCCTCTAATAAACCTTATAATAATCTTTCTTCCATGCTTGCTTGCCTCCAGGTGGTCCCCTGGGATGGATGTGAAGGATCCTTTCAAGCCACAGTTCTACTTTCAGCTTCTTTTTGGTGGTCAACTGAAGAGTCTCTCAGCTCAGATCTCAACCTCTTGGGTAGGCAGGATTACAGGCCTGAGCCAGCAGCCCCTGGCTTTGGGATTCTATCTTTGCTCTGAGCAGTTTTCTCTGAAGTCAAGTCTATAGCTACCTTGGAATTCGAGAAGAACAGGCCTGACGGATAACAACTATGACAAGAGTCCTCCATCATTGCGCCACAAACAGTAGGGACTTTCTTTTTTTTTTTTTTTGTCAGTCATGGGGCTTGAACTCTGGGCTTGGGCG